CCCTCCCGGGATTCCTTCGGGGACCTGTTCCCCTGCTCGGAGGCAACGCACCCACACGCGATTCGGGGACACAGAGCACTCCTGACAACACATCAAGTTCTGCCTGAACACCCCCTGCCTGGGACTTAGGAAAACGCCAATCCCCAAAGTGGGAACGCTCCAGTTCACTAAAACCTCACCAACGCCAGAAGGGCAATACACAACCAAGACCAAATTTTATCCTCTGTATTTTGATTATTAAAATCAACCAGTCAATACCATTTTGAGACACATTGAGTGTGCAAAGATTCCTCCCCCCGCAAAAAAAAAGTACTTATCTGGTATAATTTTATGATAGAATATTTTTATAAAATCATTTGTACTAATTTAAGCATTTATCATTATATGCAAAAAGATTTCTTGATGAGAATATTATAGACGGTGCATGTTTTTGACATTAGCATTTTATTTGGATGACTAATCTTGCAGATGTGAAATTTCAATGAATTATTCATGAAAAATCTCTCCGCTGAAATTTCAGTTTGCTGCTAATGCTAGTTATTAAACATTTTATTTTTCTTTATAAAACTTGATGAAGAAAATAGATGTGTGCTTACTCGAAAGAAAAGAAGGTGGGTTTTGCCTTTGAAGTTTATCTCGGGCGACAGCACGACCTGGGACTTTGTTCCTCATGGTTCTGCGGACCAAGAGGCCGATCCTGCAAAGCCCCTCCCGCAGACGTACGGTCTGCGCTGCACCCAGCAGCTCCCTTAGGGCACCGCACCGGGACGCAGTCGCAGGCTGCGCCCCCAGACCCCTGCGTTGACGCCTTCCCCTTGGGAGTCCCATGAGAAAGCAAAGACCCTCAACTCCCCATGACCCCAGCGGTCAAATGCCGACGGACCTGTTCGGAAAAGACGAGTTCTTTGAACGACAGCATCTTCCTTGCTCCCAGTGCTCGAGCAGGGGAGGGGGGTCATTCAACCCACCCTGCCCAAACCAGCCACAAACCCATCGCTAAAGCGCCTTGCCGTTTGATGTGGTGGGGGGAGACCCAAGGAGAGCGACGAGACCGCCCGTGCACGCGCTGGGACACGTGTGAGAAGCAACCAGCCGCTCCACGGATCAGCGCTGGGGCCCGGGGCCTCAGGGCATGCGACACGGAGTCGTGGAGGAGGAGGGGGGGGGAACAAAACAAAAACTTAGGACATGGCAACTTGCATTACCAGTGTGAACAACCAGCATTTTTATTGCATTTGAGAATGCTATAATGTCAGTAATTAGTACTGACTACACAACATTTTTTATTGTCTGTATCAACAGACATGGAATGATGGAATTACAGTTGATGTAAGGAATGAGTTTCTTTTATGCCTTATCAAAAAAAAAAAAAAAAAGAAGAAAGAAGATCTCGTTACTGGCAGCACATACACACGAAGCACCATGCTAACAGTCTGGACTGTACCATTTTCATCAAGGCTTATGGGTAGAAGATAGTTGGTTACCTGGTCCGGGCCCATTAAAACGCAGTCGTTAACTGCAAACTCACCTCGCAAGACTAGAATACTAAATGGCTTCTGGAACAGCTGGAAACTCAGGCCGAGTTCGTTACCCAAAGGTACCAAAGGATTGCAAAAGAGTTCAAACGCTTGTCCTCGTCACGCTGCACTGAACGTGAGATTACCGGCAATCTGAAAACTGCAGTAGTTCAAAATCATTTGTAAAAACTTTATATATATATATATATTTATGTTTGCGTATACATAAAATATCTAATGATCTTCAGTATTTGTAGAACCAGAATCCCTGCCCCGGTCCCGTCCCGAAGCGGGGGCTCCAGGAGGGGTGCAGGGCCTGGACTCTTGCGAGCGAGAATCGAAAAGAAAAACCAAAGGTATTATTTTTATGGTCACTTATTCTACATAAGCCTTGATTTTTCGTTTCACTTTTTAGTTGAATGCAGAAACCTAACAGGTTTTACATTTACAAACTTTTTGTGTGTGTGGACAAGGAAGGCTTTGACTCTCATTCCTGACAGCGATTTACCTGATACATGGTACTACTTTCATAATGTACGCTTTTCTTTGAGAAAAAAAACATGTAACAAATTGTCTTTACATCTTGGCACCTTGTAAAGTTTTTTTTTTTGTTTTTATACAAAAGTTCAATAGTTTGACACTCCCCATTATTAATCACTACTTCACTGATAAACTTTGAAAGTGTGACCCTGGAATTCATCATGCAAAATATTTACTGCAGCAGGAGAAAAACAATATTTTATTTTTTTTTAAACGACTTTTTTTTTTTTTTTCCTTTCAAATATATGAACTTTGTTTAAGACAGCCAGAAAAGGCAGTGGTAAGATAACAGAAGGGGTGGGAAAGTATCAAAATAACCAGCTTAAACACAAAAACTGTACAAAAATGCTTCGATCAATGATAACAGGAGGAAAAAAAAAAAATCTGTCAACTATGTTACAATTTAAAAGCTGAAAAAAAAAAAAGTCAGGGATTTTCTCCCACATGTCAGCAAATGTCATCCAATATTCTTAAAGCAAGGATAACTAAATAAAATACATGTGCAGCGTATTCTGCAATTCCATTACATACAGTAGGTTTTTTTTTTTCAAAGCTATTTTTTTAGTATAGTTAATATAAAGCAGTTGCACAAAAAGCAAAAGGTGTTTTGACAAACAGGTCTGCATTTATTCCTTTTGAGGAATGATATCTAAAAAAAAAAAAAGGACCTTTCACCTTTTCCTCCCGCCCCCCCCTCCCCCCAAAAGACAAAGGCTCACACAGACACAGTGGGATATATATGTACAACATAATAAACCCCTCCCTCAAGAAGCAACCGTATATCCAAAGGGATACAGAATCAGGATTGTAAAAATCATAGTGAAGTTTGCTTGATGTAAAGCCTGAGATTTTCAGTTGGTTCTTCTGCGAGGCTGCGACACCTGCCAGATGTGTTAAAATCTAATTTTTTATTTCTTTTTCTCTTTTTTTCATTTTTTTTATTTTTGCTACAGTCTTTAGACTAAGCATGCAAGACATACAACTAAGTGCAACTGAGTGAAATGTAATTTTTATTTACTCATTCCCTAACAGTTTGGACTGAGGTATGCGTACTAACAGTTTCTCATGCTGTTATCTTTACTCATGTCTAGCTACACATGCTGAGAATGAACTAATCTACCGGATTTTTATCCCCTTCTGAATACCGAACTAACCAGCAAACCACTCAGTTTAGAAGCACAGGGCTCAATTCTCATGATCCCCGTCTGGCTACCGCCGGCACGTCACGAAGCTGCCTGGATAGAATTTAAACAAACAAAAAAATGTTTCAAATGACCACAGACTGCCCTTTTTTCTTGTCCTTTTTTTTTTTTTCTTTTTTTGTCTTTTGAAGCAGAGTTGAGTTTTACAAAAGTAACTGCCAATAAACTTGCTTGTACCAAAGCTCATGAGTGGACAGGAGTGTTATTTCCTTATGAAAATGCTGACCAAAAACTAAACAAAACTGAGCAAATTTGCCAAGATCAACCAAAATTAAAGCAGTCATCCTAGCACAGTCCCGAAACAGAAGTGGCACACAAGCTGTAGAACCAAAGACCAAAAACTCTTTTTTCTTTTAATTCTAGAAATACTATTATGTGGTCCAGTTAAATTGTGGGAGCTTTTTCTGTCCTCTTCTGTATTTTGTTAAACTGTCTCCTTTATCTGATACTTTAATTTTCCGCGAAATAACTGTGTCTTTGCTTTCTCAAGCTCCCTTCTCACAGCTCCACCAGTAACACTGATTCCTAGTTTTAGCCTCAAAAGCTCTCCTCGATTCCTCTTTACAGGCTTTCGTTTTGGTCACTGTAAAGAATTGCAAATAAAAAGTAACAACTTTGGTTCAGACGTCTACTTGGCCTTCTAAATTTTCTAGAATAAAGGAGCAGTTTCCCTCTCAGGTTAGCAATAGCCCACATCTTGTCATTTCCCTCTAAATTTTTCAACCTCCTTTGATCAACAATAAGAGGATATTTGGCTTCATAAGATAAAGCATATAACAGAGAACATAATTTACCTTTGTGTAATATCTTTGGTAATTTTAGGAAAAAAAAGGTACAAAGAAGAATATAAATTAAGCTCTGAAAGGCTTTTTGAAATAATAAAAAAAGCTACAGTCCTACATAAATAAGTGAGTGACGGAAAAGTGGTTGCAGAATGAAAATATTTAGGTGTTTGAGATTTACTGACCTATCGCAACAAATTTTGTATGTCATGTTTGCTTTGAAGAGCCTAACAAGCCCCGGCGCAAATTCTCTCCTAGATCTCCCGCCTCCGACGGCGAGGTTTCCATACTGGCTGGTGTAATATTGCATAACAATCTTCACTGCAGTCCTGGATTTGCACAGCTGAAAATTAACACTTTAGCATTAGTGGGGCTCCGTCCTTATTAACTCCCGTAACAAGTTCAATCTGAAATCTAATTTGTATTCAAACAGATTAATGCCACCAAGCAATCCTGAACTGATGTTTAACCGTGAAACATCACCACGTACAATAACAATTTAATGAAGTCATCTTTCCAACCACTATTTGCAAATGCAAATGCAAAAAGAAAAAAAAAAACCCAACAAACTGCAATAATAGAGGTGTAGGTGCCCATCTCGGCCATCTGAGACATTCCAGAAAGATTTGTTGACCCATCAGAGCGCGTTACACAACCGAGAACCTGCCACTGTACTGCTTATTCATCCTCTACTACAAGCGAACTCCGTTGGTGCTGCGTACGTTTCTTTGTGCTGTTCAGTTTTGTGGCATTTGCTAATATTCACCGTTGCCGCCATAAAAAAAAAAAAAAGAAAGAAAGAAAAGAAAAGAGAAATCAAAAAAACCCAAACAAAACAACAAATTAAAAATACTGCTTTGTGGAATGAATCTGCGTCGCTTCCTACAGTGTTTCTATGTTCATCTGTCATTCATTCTCATGCTTGCAGTACTTCGTTCCTCTCTCTCTGTTGGACAACCCTTCCACGTGTATAGTGCAGCATTTGGGACCTTTTCAAAAAAACGACAACCAACCAAAAAGAAAAAAAAAGGAGACACCGAAATGGAATGTTTTCCATCGCTAAAGAAAACATGGTGGCATCTGAAGGAAACTGGAATGAATGACAGAAAAAACTACAAACAATTCAATGACATTCAGCTTCGTATAATAAAAACACCTATTAACATTCATCACAAAGTACAGAAAACGTCGAAGCCTCCGAGAGGCCCTGGGCCCAGATGAGGCCTGAGGTCAGAACTTAAAATGGTAGAGGAGAAGTGGGGTGGGGGAATAAAAGCAATACATTAAAAAGTTTGGGATAATTTTTTTTTTCTGTTAACCCCTCCCCCGATATACACGCTCACACGCACACACACATATCCACACACGTGCACACACAGGCCTTCCCCAACCCAAATGGAAGCAAAAAAAAAAAAAGGAAAAAGGAAAAAAAAAACCAAAAGGACAAAAAAAAAATGGAGTAAAGGCAGTGATAATCAACATGCAGTACTGTGCAAATATGTTGTCCATTGGAATCCTTAAAATCTGGGCAAAGACTTGATCTGCAGTTCAGGTGTACATGCTCAGGTTGATGTCCTCAAGTGTCCAAAATTGGCAGGACCTGCAGTCCACAGCTGGCTGCTAAATGCAAGTGAATCAGTTTAGCAAATTTACAACACTGAAGTTGACTGTAAGAGAGGAAAATCCCAAGTACCAAACAAGTCCATCCAATGCACAGAGTACAAATTCCTTTTTTCAACAAAAAGTAGAAAAATCAAAAATACTCCCAAATGGGATACTTGATGGCACTAAAAGTTAACATATTTCATAGTTGTCAAAGTGGACTGAGAATCCTCCAGACTGTACAATAATGGAGAGATTTCACAGCTAAGTTTGACGTGTTCTTCCAATCTTCATTCTCAGGATAACGCTGTCAGACATACTCATTCTATGTCCTCATTTACAGGTTCATCTTCATAATCTCTGTCGTGATCGAAATCTGGACTGTGGTTGGCTGTTGTCACTAAGGATAGCGGGCCTTCATTTTCATCTGGATCTAACGGCTCTTCTTTGACATGCACGGAGTGCCTGCGAAAACAAAAACACCCTCAGTCAGCAAGCTGCTCCTTAAAGAACGGTTTCCACAGCTTGGGGAGAAAGGCAAGGTGGTCTGGGGGTTCAGACTTGGTGTGCCAGGTCTACGAGCTCCAGATCACCAAGGAGAAGCCCCTCAACCTCTACGCCGGCCACTGAAGCCAAGCGAAGGCTACGCCGGGCAGGCGGCGCTCAGCTTCCCTGGGAAAACACTCTGGGAGGAGCACCTCGATCGGGTTTCCGTCTCGGGATCGAGAGAAAACGCTCTCAGCTGACATATTAAGTTGATTAATACAATCTTTGGATAAATAAGCGGAATAAGCATCCGAACGGCAGAGCAGCAGTTTGTCAGCCCGCCGCGCCGGCGGAGGCTGGGCTAATCATCGCTCGCTGTGTGTGCGGCGTCTCTCGTTAACATGCAGAACCTGTGAGACAACTCTCCAGAGGACGACCCCAAGTGAGGTTCTATCATTAATCAACTTCAAGCAAACACAGCAAAGAGACACCATGATACATGCTTTAAACTCCAAATTAATGCATATTTTTACAAACTGTCAATAAGGGAAGAAAAGCCCTGCCAGGAAACACAAACAGAGAGGAAAAGGCTCGCTCAACACAACAATATGATAAGAAAGCACAGCCCTAACGAGAATAATAACACTGTCAGCTGTAAACAAGGCAGAACATGATCCCCAGCTCATGGTGGGCACGAGGATGTACTGGAGAGATGAGATCTGCCAAATTTCTCATTACGGCATAGCACACGGATAACCCGCAGGGGAACGGGGCTTGGTCATTCAACAGGGGTACGATAACAACTGAAGAATGTTGTTCGTAAATCATATTTACAACAAATCCTATACAAATACAAATTACCTTTTCTTTTTTTTTTATCTCCCCCACTCCCCCCTCAGCCCCCCGGCAGCTTTTGAAATGTAAAACAGCCGTGTGAGTCAATAGTGCCTTGTTGGTGGGACTTTATAGGAAAGTAGGATTTTATTGACATTACCAAGTATTAATAATGTGACACAGCAATGGAGACCCTGTTTGCTTCCTAAATAATTGATGTTGCAGGCAATCCCTTAAAATAAAGTGTTAATGAGTTCAAGTCCCCACTCGTGTCTCTCAGTGAGTTGATATCCACCTCTTAGAGTCTGGCTTTTCCTCCATGCGGGCCGATTTAACCCTTTCACGTAGGCGACGTGAAAACATGATCTGAAAACATTCACCGAAAGAAGTTTTTCTCTCCTCGCGCAGCTCTGCGTTAAAACGAATGACTTAAACCAGCTGTATTTTATGTTTTGTGTGGAGAAGAACGACACCATTTGCACTCCGCTGCAGTGACGGACAGCGAGGATAAACCACCGAACAAGAAGGCAGTGGCTAGCGGCACACAAGCCATCGGTAACCCTGCCTACCTCGAGGAGCGGGCTGAACCCGCTGCACCCTCGTGCAAAGCTGTGCCGCACCCTCTTTATTTATTTCGGCTTGATCCTGGATCCGTCCGGGAAGCATCTAACTTGCTGACTACAGACGTTTCTAACGTGAGCTGCGAATGCCTTTCAAGTCCCTGCGTATTTCAACTTCTTGAGTTGCAAAGTGCTGGATCGATACTGAAGTATTAACTGCACCTTCCAACCCATCCAACAAAGGAGCGGCGGGAGAAGTGACGCAGCCTCCGCGTGCACGTACCTTCTCCCTTCAAACTCACAAATACGTGTCCGATCAACACCCCCCAGGAAGCAAAGAGGCTCCTCTGCACGTCACGTCATTTTCGCAAAAATTACAAGGGAAGAGACACTGCTCATACAATCCTGACCTAATTATTGAAAGAGGAGGGGGGACAAAAAGACTGCGAGGCGACGACTCAAATATCAGAGGTTGCGAATGAGGCACATACAACGTACTGCGAGTGGATTGTCACCTCGGAGGTGTGCACGTGCTAACTGTCCCAGCAGCTCACGGCCTCACCCAACATGAAACCACGCCAATTATTTTCAACTAGAAAACCTTACATTTTGAACAGGCTGTGGGGGCCACACTT